TTTTTTTTTTTTTCCTTTTTTCAAAAAATTAAACAGTGGTAACAAAAGGAAGCAGGAAAACAGGAAGATGTATTCTTTTAGCCCGTGCACCTGCCTTGGCAGGTTTTCTTTATCCTAACCTATACATAAAGAATATTTACAATCCTCATGTATAATTTAGGTATCTAAAAAGACAGATGTGCCTACATAACTGAAAGTCACACTGGCGATGAAGGACAATGGTTTATTTGTATTGAGGAGGTGCTCTTCAGAACCTATGTTTCGTGCTTTGCTTGTATTTGGCTTTTAAGTTTATTCTGGTTTGGACATCTTATTTTACAAGACTATTAAAATACTTTGTACAAACACAAAACCTCGAATACCTAAACCAGGAATGAAACCATCATACATTTGGCAATGTAGTTTGGGGATATGAATTAAATGAATTTAGGAGAGTAGTGGACTAGATGATTTGGGAGGTTATTTTCTTTCTATTTTTAATGTTCTATGACTAAGTAATGCATTTCAGGTTTCCAGTCACTGCCTGGCTTCAAGTCCTGTTACCAAGACACTTAGAATAAATCACACAGTGCTTTGCGTCTGGCATGATACAAGGACGGGTCTCCTCCTTAGAATAAGGCCAGCTTAACACCCACCATGAGATAGACTCTACCCAGTCCATCCTGGAGCTACTTACAAGTGCTCCTTCTAGAATCCCTAGTGGATTTCAGTTGCAGAAGCTTCAGCGGAAGCCTGATCTTCCTTGCATGTCTTCACAATCACAGCACAAGTGGCTGTATGTACAGGAAGGGGGACAGGCGGGGCCTTGGGATTACACCCAGCTTCCAGGGTTGGGCTGGAGGCAGTTGCTTGCATGTGGACCTCCAGACACATGGGCATGATCTCACCAGTGGGAATCTGATTGTAAGCACCCAACAAACGCCTGATTCACTTGCTCCCCTTCATTCAAACCCCCTGGCTGAGAATTCACACCTCTCATGAAGCATTTAAATCACTTCCTTAATCAAGTTAATTAGAAGGGTTGAAAAAAGTCACCAAAAACTAATTGTCATCCTGGTACTTTAATGGAATTGAGATTTGTGTATGATTAAAGCAAGTAAACATACACAACAAATTTGTAATTTACTTGTTTTGTTTTAGTGACTTATTTGTTGTTGCTATTGTTCAGAAAGCCAGTTACTGAAATTTGTTTTTGAGTTTTTAGATACCAGTGGCTTTTTTACTTTTAAAATTTCTTTTACACACAACTTTCTTCCAAAATAAGGTCAGATCACACTATTTCTCTCTTATAAACAGTACACTTCAAAAGAGTACATTGTGTTTGATTTTATCTGAGTTATATCACAGAAATAAAAATTGAGATAAAACGAAATCTACTTTATGTATTTTATGGTATATGTGTGGACAGCTCTTATATTTTTATCCATTCGTGTATTCATCAGCCAATACTGAGGGCTCACCACCAATGACCGAACTGGTGGCAAGCCGACCTTGCTAACTTATTAGTTATAGATTACTTCGTTAATAGATGTCACAGCTAAAATATGTAGTAAAGAAGAACTTTTTATAAACACATGAACTATGTTCTTCTTTATGCATATGTTCAAAAAATGAATTGTTTTTGGTGTTGAGTAATGGGGTAGGAGGAGGTTGTTTGAACTCTTTAGAAAATTATGCTATTTAAATTACACAAGTTTTACAGAAAGTTGGTTTCAGATAACAGTTTCATATGCTAACGCATGATTAAGATGTGTAGAAGCATTATTAAATCAATCTTTTTTTTTTTTTTATATTGAGTCTCACTCTGTCGCCCCGGCTGGAGGCTGGAGTGCAGTGGTGCGATCTCGGCTCACTGCAACCTTCACCTCCCCGGTTCAAGCAATTCACCTGCCTCAGTATCCCGAATAGCTGGGATTACAGGTGCACCACACCCAATTTTTTGTATTTTTTTTTAGTAGACTCGGGTTTCACTATGTTGGCCAGACTGATCTCAAACTCCTGACCTCAAGCAATCTGACTGCCTCGGCCTCCCAAAGTGCTGGGATTACAGGCGTGAGCCACCGCACCTGGCCGATAGTTAGCTTTAGAATTAAAAAAGAACACAAATGTAGTTGTTAAACATGATGATTTTTATTGTCTTTTTAGCATAATTCTTCCTTATGACTGGACCTAGTTATGTTTATATCAGAGAGTTAATAATCCCATTTTTAATTATTTTCACTTTTATTTTTATTTTGAGCAGGGTCTTACTGTGTTACCAAGGCTGGAGTGCAGTGATACAATCACAGCTCACTGCAGCCTTGACTTCCCAGGCTCAACAGTTCCTCCTGCTTCAGCCTCCCGAGTAGCTGGGACTACAGGCAGGCATACCATGCCTAGCTAATTTCTCTCTCTCTCTCTCTGTCTCTCTCTTTTTGGTAGAAACAGGGTCTCACTATATTGCCCAGGCTGGACTCAAACTCCTGGGCTCAAGTGATCCCCCTCCCATCCTCTTAAAATGTTGGGATTATAGGTGTGAGCCCCTGTGCCCAGGCAATTTTTTTTTTTTTGAGAAATAACTTTGTCTATGTCTTATTCCACACATTTTTGGCTAGTTTTGATAAGTTTTTGAGGTTTTAAATTTAAACTAAAATATGATACAATACAGTTATTATATAGTCATATATATATGCATTATTTAGTCATCCAATCTACTAATTTATTGGAGTAGAAAAATTTCTACTGGAAAGCCCCCCACCTGTTTATGTAAGGGCAGGAGAATTTGCTAGCTTCTCTAGGTCACTGAATTTTGTACTTTGGTAGATTATTCGATCTTACAATGTGAGCACAGGAAATCAAGTGAGTTTTTTACAGTAATTCATTTTTCTGAGTTATATCTCGAGGACTGAATAAAGATCCTTTTGACCCTTGTTCAATACACAGTCATAAATTTAGAGCCCCTGATATTTCAGGCTCTTGGATGACTGCATATGTAAATAAATAATTATTAGATCGCAATTTCCTTACAGCTAGTAGGAGGTACATTTTGACCTCTGAGACACTCTACTGAGTGCGTTAATGATTAACACGATGTATGGCCAGTAGTTGGGAAAGCTGTTATAAGCACTACGGTTTTCAGAAGACTTTCAACTTTTTCTTTTTTCTACCATGAATAAGCTACTGCAGTTGCATATGGCAGGCAAAGAACCTGCAGTCTCGGGAGCGGTGTCTAGTTCAGACAGGGAGAAGGAGGGCAGAAGTACAGATGAAGAAAATTTGGCTGTGAGTTATTTGTTGAAGCAAGGAGATGGGTACAGGGAGGTTCATGTATAGTGAACTTACATCATTGTATTCTGCACAGTTAATCTGGCATATTTAGTTTTCTGTTGGTACTTATTTGGTCATTCTCAGCTGTGTTTTGATGAGTTGAGTGGATTTATTTATTGTCTCATGGTGGCTTTAGAATGATTGGATGAAGAATATAAATATAAATTGTTTTAGAAAAAAATAAACTTGAAAATTGGAGCAAGTACCAAGCAGATCTGAAATACAAACCGGAAGAAATAAATAATGCCATTAAATCGACAAGTTCAGTGGATGGGTCCAAAAACAGATTAAGCCAGGATTATTGAACAAAAATGTGGCTTTGAGGAAATTTTCTGGAATGCAGCTAAGTGATGAAGGAGGAAGTCAAGAAGCATGAAGGCTGGAGTTAGAAGGTTTAAATATGTCCCATCAGAGTACCAGAAGAAGACAGGAGAGAATAAGAAAACATTCAACAAAATAAAAAGGGAGAATTTTCTAGAATTGTTTAAAAAAAAAGAAACCCCAAGTTTTCAGATTAAGGAGACCTAATGAATTCCAGGCAAAAGGAATAAAAATAAATCACAACTACACACATTGAGGCAGAAAACCAGATAATAAAATATTAGAAGCAGATACAAAGAAACCACCAACAAAAGAATGGTGGCTAGACTGAAGACTGACACCTCAAAAGCAACAATGGACACTGGAAATTGGAATAGAATCTTTAATGTGCTGGGAGGAAATAACTGCCATTCCGGAATTTTCTGACTCGGTAACATTGTCTTTGAAGGAGGGTAAAATAAAGCCATTGTCAACTGAACTTGCCATCAGTTTTCACTAAGAGCTCTAAGTTTTCACTAAGAGCAATCTGAAAGAATGTATTTTAAGCAGAAGGAAGATGATTCCAGATGAACGTTTTGAGATGCAAAAACGAATGAGAATAATGAACAAATAAAGTGCTAAGCATATGACCAAATGTAAATGTAAAGACAAATATTGGCTATAAAATAATATATCTATTGAGAAGAAAAAACTATGGAATTAAAGTAGATGCGGGCTGGAAGGGGGTGAATGAAGTTAAATTGTTCTAAAGCACGTGGCTGTTTAGGAAAATGGCAAATGTACAGATTAACTTTAGACATTGACTGGTTAAGAATACATATTATATTTTCCACACATGGACACGTGGCGGGGAACAACACACACTGGGCACCTGCGGTTGGGGGGAAAGCTTCAGGAAGAATAGTTAATGGACGCTGGGCTTAACACCTGGGTGATGGGATGATCTGTGCAGTAAACCACCATGGCACACGTTTACCTGTGTAACAAACCTGCACATCCTGCACATGTACCCCGGAACTTAAAATAAAAGTTGAAGAAAAAGAAAACATGCATGCTATATTTTCTGATTTTGTGGTTTTGCCTTTCACATGATGGCTCCCACATTGATCTGAAAATAAACCAGTGAATTAGCACGAAGAGCTCAGAAACAGATCGTTTTATGTGGAAACTCAATTTTGTACTGCTTTGGCATTACAGATCAATGTGAAAAGAAACAGAGTATC